GTTCTCTGCTCAGACTAGGAGCTTGCCAGAGGTTAGGCACATCAAAAACACTCAGTGGTAGCTACTGTTTGTTGAATGAATATATAACCTCATAGGACACCTGCCTGGACTTGGGATACAGAGCCCAGGGACTTGGTGTCAGAGAAGCTCAAGACTAACAGAAGAAATGAAGGCTGTCTTGCCCGAGTGGGGCCCCGCCTGCATGCCCTCAGCCCTCCCCAGCCTGGCCATGCATCTGCAGCTCAATGCAGGGACTTATTCCTACTCCCTGAGGTTAAGGGGAGGCAACAACACCTTCAGGAGGATTTGCCCCAGCAAGGTCTGAAGGGATCTCGGCTCCCTCTCCGGCCCTTCCCACACTGTCTCCAAGAAGACTGAGCCCCAGGCATCCCCTGAGGACCCTGCAGAGGAGACAGCATGAGAGGACAGCAAAAGTGTCCTTGCCTGGACTGCTGTCATGGATGGTTGATTGATTTGGGGCAGGGGCTACTGCGTTGTCTCCCGGAGGCAGTACCAAGTGTTAAGATGGCAGACCAGAAGGCAGGCGCCTAGGAGAGGGATCTGTGTCGGACATCAGAGCAGCCTTGGGCTCATCCGCCCTGGGCTTCTTGGGGGTGAGACCACACAATCCACAATTCAAACTACAATTGGATGACTTCTCTGTTCCTTGCTGATGGAAATACTCCCAACAGACACACTCGTTGGCTATTCAAGCAGGAAGTGTCCCCCATGGGCTCATGTGCTTGGACACCTGGTCCCCAGTTGGTGGCATTGTTTTTGGGAGGTTGTAGAGTGTTTGGATTGTGAGGCATCTATGGAGACAAGGTCACTCGGGACAGGCTTGAAGGTGGTTCCCGCTTCTGGTCCAGCCTGTGTTCTGCTCGATGGCCCAGCCGCCATGGGCAGCTATGTACCAGCCTGAGCTGCCTTAACCAGGACTTCTGCACCAGGTCAGATGGAAATTGCCAAGACTATGAGCCAAAACCATCCCCTTCCTCCTCCAGCTGCTCCTGTGGGTATTTGGTCAGAACAAGAAAAGTAACAAGGAACGTGAGTGTGTGTGTGTGTGTGTGTGTGTGTGTGTGTGTGTGTGTGTGTGTGTGTTCTGTGTCTCTCCCATCTCCATATCTCTGTGGCAGGATCCTCCCTGCCCTACTGCTGGAAGACCTGGAAGTCTGGCTTTCTGGCAGATGCATTGTGAGCAGAGACTTTCAAAGTCCCTTTTCCCTTTGCTTGGCTTGTGCCTTGGCGTCTCCTGCCTACCACTAGGAGGCTGTGCCCAGCATAAGCTAATGTCCTTCTTCCTGGGCCGCAGAGCAAACACACTCCATCTGAGTAAGCCACCATGTCCTTTTAACCAAGCCTCACAGGTCTAAGGCTAGAGTAGATACCTATCCCAGGCAGGGCCACCACTGGCCTCTCCTATTGCTTTGGCCTCAAGCATCCCAGCATCACAGTATCCATAGTTGACTGATACATGATGGTCACACAGGGGTTTGCACCTTCTGCTGTCCCCAGGACTCAAAGTTCAAGAAAGGAGGGAGACAGAACCTTGTGATGCTTTCAGAACATGTGCGCCAGCCAAGGTGGAGGGCAAAGGGACAGATCGTGTGGTAGCCGGAGGCCATGTGGCTGCTGAGTCAGCATCATGTGACCGCTCAAACAGAAACAGGACCACCCAACACCTAAAACCAGCCTAAGACCAGCTGGAACCAACATGGTGGACAGAGAGGATGCTCACTGTCCTTTGTTTATTATAATTACATCTGCATGTCGTTTAGTCTCAAAAATTGACTGCTCCCACCAAGCATCGGATACCATAGCACATTCAAAACCCATACACAAAAAGGGGGTTGTAGTGGTGGGATTACACACACACACACACACACACACACACACACACACACACACACACACCAGTCCTTCCCTCCATTAGTGTCCATCAGACACTCCAAGATCCTGGGCAGTGTGACTTTCTGAGAAGCTGTTGTGCACATTTGTTCTGTGATGCCACTTCCTGTCAGTCTGTCTCTGTTTGGGACGTGATCCCAGAAACACTGGGTCAAGGTCTCCATCCACCTACTCTGAGGCCTCCCCAACCTTTACCACCAGCAACACACCCAGCAGTAGCAGAGACTCCGGGGAAATTCTCAGCATTCTCACAGAGGCATGAGGGAGCAGATGCAGAAGGAATGTCCCTCTGGGGTGCCCACAGAGGGGGCACGGATCAAAGCCCCATAGAACCCAGGAAGCTCCCCTGGGTCTCGAACTGTCAGCCAGGTGTGTGTGGCTGAGAGAGAACGGAGGAAGAGGAAGAAACCACAGCAGTGGGGGTGGGGTAGCCAGGGTGACTCAGGCTAGATGTCACTCATATGCCTGAGATGCTCCGGGACTCCCACAGATGAGAAAAAACCCTCAGAGGAAGGGACAGCCCTGCTCCCTGAATGAGGGCTTTCAATAAACATTTGCTTTTGTGGGAGTTACACTCCTTGCACAGAAGATCAAAGTCCTGCCCACTGCAGAGGCAAAGAATTCCACTCCACCCCACCCCACCCCCAGCAGTCAGCTGGCTTCAGCTCCGTCCCTCAGTCCTTGCTGCCCTAAACTAGGGCCGCGAATGAAGGCCCAAGGGCCGGATCTGGCCACTGACTGTTTTTGAGAATAAGGCTTTGCGGGTACAGCCATGTCCCTTCAGGTGTGTCTTGTCCATGGTTACCATGGCAGCCGCGAAGAGACTGGCCTACTCCTTCCCCGCTTTGTCCCATTGCCTCGACTTCCCAGCATCACTTTCTAGGCCCTGCCCTGACTTTGCTTCTTCTGTGCAAGCTCTGCCCATGCCTGGGAAAGAGGCACCCGCCCACAGGTCTGCCAGTCACTCCTCACACGGCCGTGTGGGGCCTGCCTGGGTCATGTGGCACTTCCACCCAGGCCTTTCTGTCGACCATCAGTGATTTTTCCAGCCACTGCCCCCTCCTCACACTCCCTCACCCCGGGTTCCTCCAGAGAGGCCCCTGAAGAACTGAGGAGCCTCCGGATTCCTGCTCTGGCCCGACTCCACCCTGTGCGGATGCCAACAGAAAGCCGGTGTTTGCCTCGATTAATCATGGGCCCAATCTGCAACTTGAGCTCCGTGCACCAGAAATAAATGGAAAAGTGCAACCTGACCACAGAAGTATTATTTTATAAATAAGGCCCTTCAGTAGTGGTTAATTGGATACACATTTTGCAAGATTCGGGAAACATTAAAACTATCTACTCAAATTGGCAGGGTGGGTTCCCGTTACAGCCGGGGTGGTTTTCTGTTCCACGCCAGGCCCCAGCTTGCACACTCTCTCCAAGCCTTTCTTTCTCCTCAAGTACATTGCTCCTCTACCCAGTCTGAGATTGATAACATTGCATAAATCACAGGACGCACCCCAGCCCCCAATCCTGCCGGCCAGGGTTCCACTGAGGAAGATGCCTGAGGAGACGGCAGTTCCCACACCTACACCCCACCAAATTCCGTTCACTCCTGCTGAGTGTCAGCACTCACCTAGCTTCAGACAGGGTTGAGGTGGCTCAGCCGCCCCCCATTATTCAGGAAGCTGAGGCTGGAGGATCACAAGTTCAAGGTCTCCTTGGCATTTTGTGAGACCCGGCTCCAAGCAAACAGCGGAAAGAGGCCCCAGAGGTGTGGCTCAATGGAGGGTGGCTTGCCTGGTGTGGATGGGAGCAGGATGGGAGCCGCTCTGTCAGGGCCTGCAGTAGAAACAGCTTCCCTTCAAACTTAGCCTGTCTCTCACACTCGTGTGGAACTGAAGTACTACTGTCTTGTCACTCTCCTGGGGCTGTGATGAAAGCCCTTGACAAAGACAGCTCAGAGAGGAAGGATTTATTTTTCAGCTCACAGGTCAAGACTCAGTCCGTCGTGGCGGGGAAGCCAGCCTGAAGCAGCTGGTCCGCTGGTCACTACATCCGCAACCAGGAATCAGAGCTTGATGAACATGTGCATTTGCCCACGCAGTCCAGAATCCCAGCCAGGGAAAGGCGTCACCCACAGTGGGAGGCTCTTCCTATCTCAATTCAAGAGTAGGAAAATCTAATAGAGATCGTTCCGCCACCAGCATGTTCAGAGGCCCATCTCTGGGGTGATTCATGTTGACGATGAACACTAACCATCATGGTTGGTTTCCACATGATAAAGATGTCTTAATTAACAAAGAATTTCGAATCCACTCTTCCAGTCCAAGATGACAATATAATTATCCTTCTCAGAGATTGGCCCTCAGTTCTTCTGGGACATTTCTGGGTCTGCCACCCACTGATTTGTCCCAGAAGCTAAATATGTATCTCTCTCTCTCTCTCTCTCTCTCTCTCTCTCTCTCTCTCTCTCTCTCTCTCTCTCTCT